CTCCCCAGAGAGTAAGCTATAATGACAGACGGCATGTGTGCTGTCACAATCTATTTTCATCTGTCTTCACTGGCATTTTGAGGAGAATCTGCATCTTGCATGCACTCTTTGGAACAGCCCTCCTTGAGCTGAGATCAAGTTGCAGCCATAGTGACCTTAGCCTCTCTAGGTATATTTTTACAACTAATTGTTTTCTCTGATTATTCATTAATGAGTATGGATGAAAGAACCCATAGGTGACCCTCAGAGAGGATCTGGACCTGCACGCCATCACAAAAGCAGGGTACATACATGGAGGGAGAGACCAGAAGCAAGACTCCTGCACATGAGAAGAGTGCGCATTCCAGAACCCAAGATTCTCGGTCTTTAGTTTTATGAGGCATTCCTGGCAGCCCTAAGTTCATCTCTAGTCCCTTCCATATGACCCAAACAAAACTAGTTATACTATGGGGAAAAAGTAGGAAAAGCAGCAACATTGGGGATCAATATGTAAGGAATTTTAACCAAAATTCTTTTTCTGCTAAGGGAGAGCTATGGGAAATGACATTTCTCTCCAGGTAATTCTGATATTTTCCCCATGGGGATGCAGCCGTAATTGAAAGATTGGTTGAATAATTTTTATAATTTGAAGGAAGACACGAAGTTGTATGAACAAGGACTCAGCACAACAGGACTAATTTTCTCAGAATCTATTCATGATTTGTGTTTACCTAAATTGTCTCAATCTATGTTCCAATCCTGTGAGGAATTCATAGGTAGAAAAATTGACACTTATTAAGTCATTTTACCTTTCTGGGCCTCAGATAATTAAAACAATGAAGGATCCAGGTTTTACTGCAACTTCTAGTCTCCAAATAGATTGAACTGTGGCTGAAATTCTTGCATTTTTTAATACACAGCATTCCATTGTTTCCTCTCTGAATGAACCTATACGTCAGTATGATGTATATTCTGAAAATACAGAAGCAAAGAGCATTTTAAAAACACTGCTACTCTAGAAAAAAAAATCTATTGAAGTAGGTTTAAGGGACATTGAGATGCAGTAGAACTTTGGGAGTTAATGGTTGTGCTGTATCTGCTCCCTTTGGCAATTCTGTTGGAGCAGGCAAGAGAATTTGGCAGGAGCTGGTGCAGTGGGTTGAGGCATGCCCACTGCTTATGTTTGCTATCTGGCCTTATTTCCTCTGAACAGGGCCAACCACTTTAAAGGGTGAGTATCATGGTGTGTAAAGCTAGGGCTGAGCAGCTGTCTATTAAGCAGCCTCATTTCAGTCCAGTAGGAGAAGACAGGACATTGGGCCGTGGACTGCTGAACAAGTGGGTCAGTAGGGCAATGACAGGAAAAGAGCTGTGAGCTCCTGAATGACGAGCCTACCTGGTAAGTTAGATTCTAAATCATTCTGGACATAATCCACACAGGAGCCATACCGGTAACACCCTCAGGGCCCTACTGACTTTCAGTGGTCTACAGTTCAACCAGTTTTGAATTTTGGCAGGGGGTGGTAGAAAGAATCTCACTTTATTATAAAGACGTGGATTCTACCTTTAGCTGTGCACTAACCTGCTGTGTGAAGTTAGGAAAGTCACTTTCTTCTCTAGGTATCAGTTTATCCCTCTACAGAAAAATGGAGCTCTTCTAGGATTGCCCGCACTAGTAATGTCTCAACAGTTTTGTAATTGGAAATGTGCTTCTCACATCTCTGGGAATTAAACAAGCCAGCAAGGCAGGGCATGAAGTGTTTTCCTTTTACAAACTGAGAACTTGTTGTCCAGAATGACTTGCTGAAATTCAGAGATCTTCTAACTCCTGGCTGATTATTCTTTCCATGGCACAACCGGTTACTACCTTAACGTACAGTGTGTTTCTATCCTATGTAACACAATTAGGTGACTCTCAGTGTTGTAGTTGTCGCCCAGGATGACACAAGGACATTTAAATCCTGTTTTCCTTTCTATACCTTTAGTGCCTTGTGTCATGGTAACAAGGGCCAGGGGAGGTGACCTTCATCCAACCCCTCTCCTTCAGATACTTTAGTGGCAGATAAAGCAATTAGCCCCAAACTTCAATGCACATGAGAACCATGGGAGTTTATGCATACGGTGCTCATAGCTGGGTTCCAGCTAGCCCCATAGAGCTCCTGTAGGCTTAATTACCAGCTCTAGAACTTCTGGTAAGAGAGTTCCCTCACCACTAGTGAGTAACTCAGCCCAGAAATAAACTACAAAGTCAACCACATTCTCTGCCATCTGTCTTTACAGCAATCTACAATGGAAAAATCTTGTGTTGGTGGCGAATGCAGCAGATATTTTTAGCCATGGCTTAGCTCACATGACCAACTGACTCATTCTGGCTTTTTTTTTTGGTTTCAACCTTTTAGTCTAGTGGAGTGACTATGCCCACTTGGACACAAAATTAACGTGAGAAGAATTCAGACCACACTGGAAAGCAAAACTGATACATTTCGGAAAATTCACCTTTCCATTGGGGTAGGAATATTACAGATGCTTTCCATTATTTGGGAAGCTCTAAAGCATTAAAAATCCCTTAGGGAAATATAAGCTAAATGTTTTTGAACTATTTGTTTGAAAAAGCCCACTACTTTTTAACAGATTTCTAAATGACATTCTCCACATTTGAGGAAGGTACTTATATGAGGGTATTTCAAAATGGTCATGGAAACATAGAATTCAGAGATAAATTTACTTTAGTGCAAAAATTCATTGAAATACACACAGATTTTTCAAAGTATACACTTTCTATTAACTTTTGAAGATTCCATGTATAACTGATGAAAAGCTATACCAAGAATTGTATGTAATTTAAAAAATACATTCCTAAATAACTCACCTTTGTTTAAGCCTGCATCATCAATATGAACTTAGAAAACATGATAATAGTCAGTTAGTTTCCAAAATTTTTGAACAAAGCTTTCTGGTTTCTTGGATCCATGAAAATTTCTCATACATTTCAAAGACTGAAAAAGCAAATCCATCCAACTCACAGTCCCTGTTCACATCACCTTACGAGCACAGGGAAGAGACACCCATTCAGCACGGGCCAAAGGAGGAGATCCGCTCTTGGTTTCATGCAGCAAACAGCAGGAAGAAGCAGGGAAGGAACATCGGTCTTGTTGCCGTCCTCTCCTCTTTCATTTCTTCTGCTTAAATCTTCCACACATGACTTAAAGCTCCATTTCAGCCACTCATAGAAACTGATAAGTTCAAAGGCAATGTAGTGACTTCTGCTCAGAAATCCTAGCCATATACATTTGGATAGGAAACTTGGATATTTGTTCAAATGGATCATCTAATGAAGCTCCTCACAGGGATTGTAAAAAAATATGCCTATGGATAGCAAATCAGGATATTATTCTCAGTTCTTCAGGCCTTCCTATGCTGAGAGATTATTCATCCACACATTTTTTTGTGATATAGTTTGATAGTTCCTTGCGCCCTTGCACCAGAGTAGGAAAAGTCTATTTCCCTAGTTGTTGATATTTTACTTGGCCATGTGATTTTCTTTAGACACTGGACTTTGTGTGATGTTAAACAGAGTGACCATTCAGAGCCAAGACCTTACAGGCATACTGTGTTCTGCCAGCCTCACTTGGATTCAGCAATCCATAAGAAAAATGCTTGCCCCAGGAAGCTGCTGGTCCCATATGATAATGACTCATTGAACAGATTCACACTTACAGGAGGCTGGATCTAGATTAGCCCAACAGGACCTGGCCCATTTCAATGGTGTTGAGCCAAACTACAAGCAATTTGAAGACCCAGGAGCAAAAATAAATATCTACTATAAACCATTTTTTTGCCACTTAGCATTATTGTGGCAATAGTTGACTGATACAATAGGTAAGGAAAAAACTGCCCCAAAAGTGAAAGCCCAGCCAAGATTGTAGCTTTGATGTACAAAAATACATTTATTTTCAACAATTTCAAAACCACTGTCTTTTTTTTACAGTAGAAATATTCAAATGGAACAATAAAACCAAGAACAGTATATGTACATATACTGTATATATAGATATGATTCATGCATTTGTATTCCAGTGTTTAGTACAAGTATTGCAATTGTCTGCCCCCTTAACCCTTGAAACAAACAAACAAAAAAAAAAACCAAAATCTTTAGAAATATTCCTAATACTGATCTATGCTGTAGCCAGCCAGTTTTCTCAATAACACATTCTCTCTGTGTCTCACAAAGAAGAATGTGAACAACATCCCACAAAAATTAACAGGTACAAAATGTGGCCTTTCTTCTCATATATATATACAGTATATCATCCTGTAAAACAAGTGTACTCAGGCTGAGCCTGAAAATAAAAACAATGCTTAGAGGATGGCTTACAGTGACCCTACTGAAAATAACTGGTTAAGTGTGTGAAGGGGCTGAGGTGCTTGAAAAGCAAACAATGGCTTTGAAAGCCATTCACCCCAGAGGCGAAAACTACCTTAAGGGAACTGAAGGCAGACATTGGACTTTAAGGAAGTTGTGTACTTGTGTACGTCTGACAAGCAAATAGCACAGCTTTGCTACAATCATCTTGGACTAATATCATTAAAGGCTAGACCTCTATTTGGCCTGCATGGTGTGCATGGACTCATGATTCCATCGATGCCACCTGCCTTCCAACCTAACTCTTCTCATGCCAAAAGGCACTCGCAGGGCTATACCTGGAGCCCAGGAGACATTTCTCAGCTAAGAACAGCCCGAGAATTCACCATATGCATTTACATGTCTGTGAAATCCAGTCAAAAGACCAGAATAGAACAGGATCTTCAGGTCCATTGCCTGCTTTCTTTAGAGACAGTGATTTTTCTCAGGCTGATAAATATCCTCAACCTTTTCTTTTTAGAGAAGAATCTCTTCATCTTGGTCTCAGTTTGAAGTCCCTAGGGGGCTTCACCTGCTAGGTTCTCCCATCAGAACTAAAATGACCCTCATGTACTATGATGTCACTAAAGTCCTTCCTTAATCAATTGCCCTCAATAAGCCCTCCCCCACCCCTCTATATACATAATCAGAAACCAGCCACAGTGTGGACAGAGATGTCAGAGTTGAATGTGACAGATAGCTGGAGTGCATCCAGAACCTAACATACCAGGCAGGCCTGGGGCTTGGTCAGCTCTGAGGGTGAGTACGTAAGCCAACACACGCATCTTTTTTCTGTTTTCTTTTTTACTAAACATTAAATTATTTCTTAGGAAATAAAAAGCTATTTACATTGTAATTATATACAATATGCCACCTGTAGCCTCGCTATTGACATGCACGAGGCAGGGCCTCTTTCACAAAGGTGTACACGCTTTCTGTAGCTATGTCCACTCCCCACTAACCTACCTCCTGAGGCTCTAACTGGGAAATGGTGTGTGTTGTATGCGTATGTGTAGGGGGGGCTGGGGTCAGGAGGTGATGGGATAGTCATGAAAAGCCAACCCAACTTAAATAAAAAGAAAGCGACCACAAGCAGAGTCTTCGCACTGGCAATGACAGAATAAAGCAAGGAGGCTGTGAGAAGATGCATCCTTCTCCCTTAGCAGAAAGACAGTCATTTATTTATTTTTTGTCTCATTTCCTCAGCTAAGAATGCCTTTTTCTCCCAAGCTAAGTATCTGCCTGCTGTTTATGAAGGGGCCCTTGGTAAACAAAAGGTAGAAAAGACATTTTCTTTTTTCCATAATAATAGTAATAATAGTCATCAAAAATAAAACATCAGAAAGGTGGTTGGCCAGGTAGCTCCTTGGTATTAAACACTAGTGCAGTTGGGAATCTCCTTTGTGCTTTCGCTGTTTGCGATGGTGGCGATGCCTCCTGCAGAGTAGAGAAGACACAGGGAAAAGCTACGTAAGTTCTACAAAGACAGGGATCTTTGTTTCTTCACTGCAAACTATCCAATCACCTACAATGGCTGCTCACTAGGAATTTGTTTCAAAAGGCAAAGGAATAGTCTCGACTATGAGCTCATTGGCTTATCTCATCAATGTTTAAAATATGTCACCTCCCACACTTGCACACAGGCAGGACCAATGCATCGCCATCGTATACTCTACTGACAACAACAGTAATAACCAACATGCACTGAACACCTTCGATGTGGCAGGCACTATGCTAACAATATGCCATTCAATTATTAAAGCAATCTTAGACTAGGTTCTCAGGTACTACACAGAAATAGGGTAGTCTCTTAGATATTATTATTCCTTTTCACAGATGAGGGATACGAGGCACACAGAAGAAACAAAGCTAGCAGGATGGAAAGCAAAAAAATAGACTCAAGGCTATCTGATGCAAGTTCCACATTTGTGTGATTTAAAAAAATATATAATTAACTTATTTGAGAGAGAGAGAGAGAGGGAGGAGTGGGCTGGGGAGGTGGAGAGAGAGCTCCTGTCGGCTGGTTCACTCCCCAAATACCAAAACAGTTCATGGGTAGGCCAGGCCAAAGCCAGGAGTCAGGAACTCAATCCAGGCCTCCCAAATGGGTCACAGGAACCCAACTACTCAAAACTCACTGCTACTTCGCAGGGCCTGCATTGGCTAGAGCTGGCATCATGAGTGGGAGCAGGGAATTGAATCCAGGCACTCGGATGCGGGAGTCATCACTGCTAGGCTAAGTGCCTGCCACCATGTGATTGTCTCTAAGGACTCAGAATGCTTTTGCTTTACTGAAAAAAAAAATCAAAAAAATCCCAGTTGTAATGGTTACCTGGCTTCATCCCTCCTCCACCCCAATCCCAGTGCTTCCAATCTTCATTGACTTATAAGGGAAAAACTGTCACTTTCACATGGTCCAAGGTGACAAACAAATTTCAAAGCATGGTGATGTCACTGGAACCGGTTACCTTCTCCACCCGTTAGTGCAGTGCTGTCTGGAGAGCAAAGTGGGATGGCTGACCGTGTTTGGAGGAAGAGGACCCAGGAGCATGGTGGCACAGGCACACATACCTATGACCCGCGTGTCCAGCTCTTTGTCCAGCAGTTCCTCAGGCTCGGTGAAGTCACTGAGAGTGATTTTGGGGGCATTCTCACTTTGGCTCACTGACCCAATCATCTCCTGCTCCTTGTCGTGTTGGACTTGAGCATAGATGTTAATCCAGGGGATTTTCCTACATGGGGTGGGAGCAAAATCAGAATAAGATCGCAAGGCATGCCAAACTTCGGCAGCTGGAAATGCTACGTGACAAGGAGAGAACATGCTGTTAACAGGAAGAGCCAATGTCAGGGAAAGGTACTGCTCACCCAGAACACTGTGATCATAAGGGCATGGGCCCAAGGTGAGCACAGGATGAATCAAACCACAGAACATCTGGCTATGCACCTTACACTGGGATGGAAAAACAAGTAGGTCTATAAAAGGTACTGCTATGTTGTTGATTGTTGATCCACTAAAATGTTTACGATATTAAGTTTGTAAAAGAGCTGGACACTGAGATTCACCAAGTTGTTTCTAGTGAAAATACATCTTATTTTGTAGTTGCATCAATTTAATCAACTCACATTGGCTTCTTTTACAAAAAGAAAAGAAATAACAGACTTAGCCACTATTGCAATTTTTACAGCACTTGAGGCCGGCGCTGTGGCGTAACAGGTAAAGCCACTGCTTGCAGTGCCAGCATCCCATATGGGCGCCGGTTCAAGTCCCAGCTGCTCCACTTCCAATCCAGCTCTCTTCTATGGCCTGGGAAAACAGTGGAAGATGGCCCCAGTGCTTGGGTCCCTGCACCCACATGGGATACCCAGAAGAAGCTCCTGGCTCCTGGCTTCGGATCACCGCAGCTCCAGCCATTACGGCCATCTGGGGAGCAAACGAGTAGATGGAAGACCTCTCTCTCTTTCTCTGCTTCTCCTTCTATCTGTGTGTAACTCTGACTTTCAAATAAATAAACAGATCTTTAAAAAAAAAATTTTTTTACAGCACCATCTGCAGGCCAACTGTTTCAAATGCTTTTATGGCAAGTTTCCTCATCTGTTCAAGGGGAATAATAATAAGTTCTGTTTGGGATTGTGAAGAGGATTAAGAGAAGCTAAATGCCTTTCTTTAAAGACATCAGGGTTTGGAAGCACGAAGCAGACTGGCTTGGGGTTGAAGCAGAAGGCAAGTTTTGATTGAAATCTTCTTGGGACAATCATATCCTGATTATCTCCACAAACTCCTGACTATTCCAGCCTTTGTAGTCTCCATTGAAGTTGTCTAATCCAGGGCTTCTCAAACTTTAATTGGTTTAGGCATCACTCAGGGTCCTTGTTAAATTGCAGACTGTGACTGTAGGGTCTGGACTGGGTGGATTGAGATTCTGGCCTGCTGCCAAGCTCCCCAGTGCTGCCAGTGGGAGCTGCAAGACTCTAATACACCAAGCTCTGCTCTCCACTGTCATAAATATGCAACTATGGGACAACATCTATGAAAGAAAGAAAGGATATAGGGCGATGTAATAGATGATGCTTACTGAGGTTTTTTCTGCCTTTCTCTCCCACTAGACCAAAAGCCCCTGATGCTAAAGGTCTGTATTTTCTGTCATCATTGCTGCACACTTGACTTAGCACAGTGCTTGACACATGGTTTGCATTCATTAAGCATTTCATGAATGAATGAATGGATGGATGAATGAATTCAATGCCTATTCTCTTTCTGTTTATTCTGTACTATATTCTTCAATGAATTTTACATTTTATCTAGAAGTGATTCCTCTCACCTCACCAAATGATGGGGAAATAGAACGAAAGCCAGACACTTCATAGGTACCATTAAAACTGGTACAGGTACCATTAAAACTTGGCACATCTGATGCCCACACCAATCCAGAACATTCAATGCATTTCCAAAGCAGAATCACTGTGCCATCCTTGTACAAACTAGTGATATTTTTAAGTTCCTATATTTCCCTCTATGATCCAATCCCAGTAAGCTAGAATGTGGGGGCATTTACTAACCTTTCCCTACAGTTACTTCAGAAACATGCAGTGTTTCTATCTGTCAGATCCCTAAATGTTTGCTTTCTACACATTAAAGAAGGTACCCCATGACTCCTGCTGTCCTAAACCAGCTTAATATAATTTATAAGAATCCTACATGCACTGAATCTGTGTAAGGCAGTGAACCAGCAGCTTTCTAAATGTGCATAATTTAAAAATGCATGCTGCCTCTTCCTTTATTTTTACCTAAACTTACCTAAGCCTATGACTTAGATTGCTGCTGGTCATAAAACCACATATTACTCACGAATGCTGGGATCAACTGTCATATTTATCAGGTGCTGGGGGGTGGTCAAGCCATTCCTAATCAGAGCAGTCTGTGTACTTGAGAGTTCTAATCAGAGTCCATCACTTCCGTTTTCCTGAGTTGCTAATGAGGCCTGTGAGGATTTGGATAAATTTGCCCTTATGAAGATCATTCACTTTATTTCAGTCTCACAGAAAACCATTTAAACTCAGGCATATTTTCATCTTTTTTTAAATAGGTAGTTGGGAGGGAATAAATTTTATACCGCAGTTTGCAGCATTTTAAAAAATTGCCAAGTTGCTTTTCATTTCTTAACATGCCTGCTTGCAGAAGTGTTGGAATGTAAGTCAAATCTGAACTTCACGTTTGGCTTTGAAAATGGAGGGAAGCAAAGAGATCAAGGGATGTGTCTTGGGCTGTACAACCATACAGGTTTAAATGAGAGCAGTAAGATGGAGATGCCCTTCACCTAATACATAAGCAAGCAAACAGAAAACAAATGCCATTTGTACTTATTTTCTCTAGCTAGGATGAGTATAAAAAAACCTGGGGGAAGAAATTTAGAGAGAGCAAAATGGGCTTTGAAACTATAATGAACATTGTACCAAAAAAAAAAGATAGGAGAAATATAAGAGCTCAAATGTTTTCCTGGATAACCAATAAAATCAGATCTACAATCACAGAAAATCTGTTAGGCAATTTTCAGAAAATAAAAGCCATGTCATAATTATACCGCCAGGGATATCAGTCAGCATTCAAGAGCAAGATGGCACGAGAGGCAGGGCAAAATTTACTGCAAGAAGCCTGGGCTTGGGGTAACTCTCCTTAAGTCACCACTTGGGATCTGGAGATATTTTCAGTGGCTGGCACATAGTAGGCCCTCAATAAATGCTTGTTGAATGAATGAACATTT